CAGTGCGTCTGTGCGCGCCCGGGATCCGAACCAGCGAACCCCGGGCCGCCGCAGCGGAGCGTGCGCACTTAACCGCTTGCGCCACCGGGCCGGCCCCTACTATATTTTTTTTATGGAAAAGTATGACAATGGGATAATTCTGAAAAGAATTTTTAAAAATTGGTAGGTTCTCTTATTTTCAAATCCTGTGTCATTAATGAATGAAGGTTATATTATTGGAAAGACAGAGAGAAGACCATAAAAGTAATATACAAATGAATTTCTAAGAGGCAGAGTCCAATTTTGGCTCATGCAGGACTCTGGATAGTTCTGGTCTGTATCACAGAAATAGCAACTAGCTCCTAGCACACCAAAACCTGGCAATGCTCCAAGAATCTGGATCCAGTTTCAGATGGAGGGCTTTTAAGAAGCCAGTTTGAGATTGAGGCCCCCTCAAGCTCTAAACTTGAAGGGAACTCTGTGTGCCAGTAGACATCTGGGAGCCAAGGAATGGCCAAGACACCTTAGGAAGTGTCTGCAGCATGCAGATAAAGCAGGTAGTCTGTGAACAAGGGTTCTGAGGTTCTGGGTTAGGTGACCTTAAAGAGGCAGCATAGAAAGTGCCAGGCGGGTAGCATAAAAAGTGGAAGGCACATGTTTGCAAGCTGGCAGTTTTCATTCTGACAGTTACCACAACTAAACATCATGCCACCAAACATTAAAAGGTCACCTTCCTCATGAGGAGAAAAATGTGTGCTGGGTGAGTCCCTGTATAAAGTACATTCATATTGTTTCATTAAAACAAAGTGAAACAAAACAGCTTGTAGAGCCATAAGCAGACTGCCCAAATCTAGATTCTTAAGTATTTATTTATTTTCAAATTAGAAAACAAACCTCTGTAAAACATCTTATTTCATTTCTAGCCAAGAGCCAGGATGAATTCAAAATAACACATTACAATCTATGACATTTGTGTGTATTGCTTAACAATACAGGCTGGCAGTTAAGAAGGGGCTGGTAAGAAGAGATCTGAAAGTCTGTAATTCTACCACCACTGGCTTAGCCAACGTCAGACTCTGTGAGGGCATACCCTATTCCTTTTTATTCTTTTTTTTTGTGGGCATAGCTATAACCGGAAGAGGCAAAATTTTTTTTATCCTTTTATTTACTTCTTAAATATAATCTTAAAAGTCATTTATCTTTCCAAGGTAATGTGACATTTACTTAAACTGAGAAGTTGTAATACAGGTATAATGTTTGTTCTTTTGTACTTTTATTCAAGCAGGGTTTAATATAAACTTCTCTTAGGTGAGAATTTAAAGCTATAATCCACTTTGGCATGGTATCAAAGACAGCAGTGATAAAATGAAAAATTTCAGCCAAAAAATCCCCACCAAAACCAAAAGACAAACAAAGAAAAAAAGAGCCTATATCTACTGTTCTTGTTAAAAGAAAAAAAAGGTACAACAATAAAGTGAGGAACACACAGACTGTCGAATATTAAAAATAACAGCCTGCATTTACATGGGAAAAGGGCATTCTCACACTGAGTATGGCAATATAAACTGGTATTATTTTTATGTAGAACAATTTGACACATATCACAGCTTTAAAATTATGCAAACTTGGGGGCCGGCCCGGTAGCGCAAACGGTTAAGTACACGCGCTCTGCTTCAGGCGGCCCAGGGTTCGCAGGTTCGGATCCCGGGCGCGCACTGATGCACCGCTTGTTAAGCCATGCTGTGGCGGCGTCCCATATAAAGTAGAGGAAGATGGGCATGGATGTTAGCCCAGGGCCAGTCTTCCTCAGCAAAAAAAGAGGAGGACTGGCAGATGTTAGCTCAGGGCCGATCTTCCTCACAAAAAAAATAATAAAATAAAAAAATAAATAAAATTATGCAAACTTTTCAGCTCATCAATTCTTCTAAAAAATTATCTTAAAAAAATTAAGTGCATAAAAATGAACATATAAGGATAATCACTGCAGTTTTGGATATAATAATGAAACATGTTAAAGAACTTAAATGTCAAATAGAAAGGATTATTTATTATAAATTGTATAGTTTGGCCAAAAGCTCTGATGTCAAATGATCCACATGCACTGTTATGGAGAGCTGCTTACAGTATATCATATATCCCACCCAACAAACACAGGCATATCTCCCCTACACTTACTTTCAGCTTCATGAGCCTTGAGCAGAGACACAGGCATGATGCCTTGTCTAACATCCCAGATACTCAACATTCCATCCTGGCCCCCAGTAGCTACAACATGCTGCTGGTTGGGATGTCTGTCAACACAGTGGAGCGGCACTCGGTCACCAGTCCTTTGACAGAGATACAATGACATCAAACATGGTGTCAAGTATAATTGATCTTTCCATAACCCATGAAACATATTTCATTCTAGTAGCTAAACAATAACTTTATGGCTGGGGCTAATGGCTAACCTTAAATCATGTCAAAAATGGACTACGTTAAATATATTTCTAAATATTAGAATTGGCGGGGGGAATTAAAGGCCAAAGTTATCATTCTCTCTTCAATTTAGAGACATAGGGAGCAAGATAACCTGATGATAAGATGTGCAAAACACATTTCCATTTCTTGGCTTTTTAAAAACATTAAATATCAATGAAACAGCATATTCTTTACTCCCACTTTATTTAATGTTTAGTTTATATAATCATTTTTTCAGTTTGACACATTTTATTTTCTTCTTAGAGAAGATAAGGTTGCACACATAGAAAGGGGATTTCTGCTCAGAAAAATATCTTGGATTATATTTTTCTCCCAATCGTATCTAGGGTATATTATACCCACTATTAATAGAACCATTTGATGAGCAAAAACAAGTTCCCCATTGAATAATATAAACTTCAAAGAGAGAAAGCTTCAATCAGTACAACAAATATTTACTAAATGCAGCATGGTAGTACCAAGCCCATCAAATCATACCTGCTTTATCAAATTTAATCAGGGATCACTCTCTTAAAATGCAATTAAAATACAATATAGTTTAAAGTCCGTTGCCCTAAACTATTGAACGAATTAATTTTGCATTACACTATTGAAATTAGAAATCAAAGCTTACAGTGATAATATCTGAGAGGGCTCATTTCCTTGTTGTCTGAAATCCCATATTTTTAACTGTCCAATTGAATTAACTGTAAGAATCTCAGGAGTTCGAAGGAAGGTTACAGCATGGAGTGTACTGCTATCTGCATTGTCTACAAATTAAGAAAACAGTAGTGTGTGTTAATGGGTTCCCCTTTTCCATGAAAATCTTAAATCGCATTCATTCTATTGATTGAAATATTACAAATGAAATTTTAAACAAGTCACAGTTCAATTTCTATAGAAAAATGCACAGAAATATACATGTTAAAATGGACTCTCTGGGCTGGCCCCGTGGCTTAGCGGTTAAGTGCGCGCGCTCCGCTGCTGGTGGCCTGGGGTTCGGATCCCGGGCACACACCAACGCACCGCTTCTCTGGCCATGCTGAGGCTGCGTCTCACATACAGCAACTAGAAGGATGTGCAGCTATGACATACAACTATCTACTGGGGCTTTGGGGGAAAAAAATAAATAAATAAAATTAAAAAAAAATTTAAAATGGACTCTCCTTTGATAGAGAAATGCTATCACTCACAGGACATCTGAACTATTTTCCAAACAGAGGGCTGAGTTTTCACATATTCCTCTATTTCCACTTAAGAGTGTTACCCTCCATTTTGGAGACAGCTGTTCAAGCTCCTCTATATCCAATTTTATTTCCCACTAGTCCTGAACCCAGAGACTCCATTCTCTTTGGCCAAACCCCAGTGCTTCCTCCAGAGTTCACTCTGCCTTTGTATTATTCTGCTGACTCATCTCAAGTCTACCACGTTTACCCTCATTAATTCTCTCCTCCTCCAGGAAGTCCTTCCTGCTTGTTATAATGGTCCTTTTCTTTTTTCCTAGAGTGTTTAGAGCTTATACCATATAATTTAGCATATACTTATAGACTTTTGTTTTGTGACACTCCTCCAAACCACCACCAGGCAATGGTCCTTAACAATTAAACAAGTGGTGTTCCTCAGAACTAAAAATCATAATAAACAACACAAAAAACTCATTCATGGGCTCAAACCACAGAGGTTCTGATTCAGAAGGTCTAGGGTGGTGGACTGTTAAAAATCTCCCCAGGCAAGTCTGTGTGCAGCAGAGTTGAGAACTACTACAGGAGAATAATCCTTCTAAAGCAGGACAGGGAGTCTATCACCCCACCTGCTCAAAAACTTGCACTGGCTCCTTGGCTGCCCACCTAACAAAATGTAACCTCTACAGCTATGCATCAGACTCTTCACGACCAGGCCCCAATTTACCTTTCCTGCATCATTGCTCACCTCTTCTATATAAATATTTAAAGTCAGGTCAAACAAACTACACTGTTTTTTGTTCTCTTAATGGCCTTATCCCGCCTCCACATTATTCTCTTTGTCTAGCTTGCTATCTTTTAGTATTACTTATGGTCCAAAACCTAGATTAATTGCTACCTGCCCCTCAATTCTTTATTCAGTAATCCCCTCCAGTCAGAAAAAAAGTTTCTCTCTCCTCTGTAGTCACTCATTCGTGCAGGCCTTATCACCATACTGTCTTGATAAAGGGATCCTGCTTTGTATATTTTTATATCCCTCAAACACCCAGCACTGTGTTTACACAGCACATAGTAGGTGCTCAATTACTAGGTGATGGATGAAAGAAATATAATGGTTTTTCTCACCTATAGTTCTCACAGCCTCCTTGTGATCAGCTCTGAAAAGATTTATCCGACCATCTTCTCCAACTGTGACAATTTCTGGGTTGCTGCACACGATACCCGTGCAGGGTGCACTGCAACAGGAGTGGCTGCCTGGGCTCGTGTGGTAGTGAGCGGCCGTCCACTGCTGGCTGACTGACAGAGTCTGGGCATCAGAAACGAGCAGATGATTAACCAAAGCAAAGCTCTAAACACCTAGCACTTTTCCCCAACTCAAGAGTATTTTTAAATTCTGTCTCATACCCTTCGAGAAAAAGAATAACTCTCTCCTTTTTTGTTTGTATTTCCGAGTAATAAAGTCTAGAACTACTCTACAAAGCTCTGTATACACTGGATTAGATTCAAAATGAATGCTGCTCAATAATGGCCCACATTTATAGCAAACTATAATTTTATTTATTTATTTTTCCCCCAAAGCCCCAGTACATAGTTGTATGTCATAGCTGCACATCCTTCTAGTTGCTGTATGTGGGACGCGGCCTCAGCATGGCCGGAGAAGCGGTGCTTCGGTGTGCGCCTGGGATCCGAACCCGGGCCACCAGCAGTGGAGCACGTGCACTTAACCGCTAAGCCACGGGGCTGGCCCAATATAGCAAAGTAAAGAAATGGGTTTTAGGTACCAGGTAGTCATGTGTTCAAAAGTAACTCTAAATTCTTAAGAGAATTAGCCTACATGTAAAAAATAACTCCCTGTAGTGCTTTCTAAATGACTCGATTAAGAAAAATATTTAACAAGATCTGGGTCTTATATTTACTACATATGCCTATCCACAAGGTGACCTTTATTAATCCAAAAATCTAAATGAGCACTCTCTTCTAGCAACTGAAAACTATTACTACAAGTGGGGCTATTGTAAAGATTTGCCCTCACCGCTACTCTTTGAAAGTGACCACTTGTGGGCTTCAGTATACACGAAAGGCATTGAAAAAGTGCCAAGTCTTCATAGAGTGTATCCTCTCTTCTAATTAAAACCTGGGTTCTATCCACAGAAGTAAAGTAGCTGTTCTTGTTCTCTCTCATGATACCTTAGCTAGAATGTGCTCTTTTTTTCTTCAAAAGATTAGAATAGAAACTTAAAACAGAGAATTACTGGAAAATCACTTGCCAGAATACCATATTGTTAGTTCTAAACTAACAGAATTTATTTAAGAGATGTCGAATTTCAATAAAAGCTCACACAAACATGGTTCTAGAATTAATCTACTAAAAGATGGGTAATATAATGGTGATATTTTTCCTCTCCATGTTTTCAGGCTATAAAACTTTTTATTTGTGTCATTAAGTACAGTCTTCTTTAAGCCTTCCTATAAATAATTAAAATACAAATTCAGTTTTCAAAAAAAGTTCTTTACCTGGTTATTTGGATGGTGAAGGAAAACTGTTACACATCCTGTTGATGAAGCAGCTACAATCCTTTCCTGGTCAAAAAACTAAACAGAAAATTCCTGCTCGTTATAGATTCAGAAATATTAGTAGTTTAACTCAGTAGTATAACAATTTTAAGATGTGAAGAGCTATAAATGCTAAGCAAATAAAATCTGATGATAGATCTGAAAGTCAAAACTGCTATACAAATAAAAGTATTTTCATGAAGAATAAATAACAATAATTTTTTCCCTAAACTCATTCACCTATAATTGATTTAATTTTGGACCACTACCATAAAGGTTTAGAAAAGTATCATTCCAGGGTTAGGGAGCTTTCTACAGAATCAGGACTGCCAGGACTTTGAAGTCATGCAGACCAGGATTTAAAAACTTAATTCCATTGCCACCACTTACTACTGACTTTGAGACCGTCGCCAAGTTAAGTTCTCTAAGTCCTGGCAAACCTTTAAAAGGAAAGAACTAATCCTTACTTAGGGGGTTGTTATGAGAACTCAAAAAGCAAAACCTGTCAAGTGCCTTGCACAGTATTTGTCACATAGTACATGCCCAAAAGGTCTTAGTCTGTTTTCTCACTGGTAAAAGACATAATACCTGATTCACAAGCATGTGATGAGAATTAAACTAACTTATGTAAAGCTCCCAGAACAGTGCTTGGCACATAGCAGAAGGTCAGTTAATTAAAAAAAGGATTAAAAAACTATGCTTAAATCTACATCTCCTTCCCCAGTCATGATTTTGGCAAATCATAACCTATAGAGAACTCAGTCTCCTGTAAACCGGGGCGAGTCTAGACAAACTTTACGGTCCTTTGCGTCTCTCAATGTATTACTCTCCGCTCTTTAAGTTAGCTTTTGTACGTTCCACAGACTTACCTGTAAGTCCATCACGTCACCATGGTGTTTGATGTCACACAGTAACTGATGGTCTCCTTCAAACCCTCCATCAGAGTCTGAGTTCCCAAAATCGCCAATAGACCACAGGGAAACACGATTTTCCTGTAAAATAGACAGATTTATCCTGAGATGAAATCTACTTTAACCTCTCGGAAATTAAAATTCGCAATGCCTTCAAATAACCTTGCTTTAAAAGCATCTCAGAACAGTCTGGTGGTTACCAGGGGGAAGGGGGTTGGGGGGTGGGCACAAGGGGTGAAGGGGCACATATATATGGTGACTGACCAATAATAATGTACAAGTGGACTCGCACAGTGGTATCAACTATCATGACATTGAAGGAAGTAAAAATTATATTAAAAATTAAAAAGTTACTACCTTAGAGACAGGCACCTCCACACCCTAAGGATTCCTGGTATAAGGGGGAACGTTTATCGATCCTGACTGACTCTATTCATAGAAGACTCACCCTAAACTATTCGGGGAAAAATTGAGAACAAGAGAGTGCTCCAGAGGGATAAGTTTGGGAGGGTCGGGGTGGAGGGGGTCCAGATGGGGACGCGTGTGTATAACCTGATAATCGCTTGGCGCCATAGCAATTCGCGCCATAAAATGTAACTGTTTAAATGTTTTAAATTAGCCAATCATGTAAGACTGTGCCAACCTTTTCCCGCTTTGTGCTCCCAAACCCTATATAAGAATTTGCCCTTTAAGGTCCGGGGTCGACTCTGTCTCCTGCAAGAGATACGTGTGGACCCAGAGCTCCACTTAATAAACCTCTTGCGTTTACATCAAGCTCGGTCTTCTGTGTCTGTGGGTCCGCGCCTTCCCGAGACTGGAGTTGGGGTTTCCTTTTTGGGATCCTACAACATCAATTTAAAAAAATAAAAAAAAAAGCATCTCAGACAAAAGGCATGGTGACAGTTTAAACCACAACGAGATGCGAGGCCCAGGCGCACCGTCGATGGCTCGGAGGGCAGGGCAACCGAGACGGAGGCCGGGGGCACAGAGAAGGGCGAGGGAGGCTGGGGCCAGGCGCGGTCCGGGAGACCGGGATGAAGCGGCGGTACCTCGTTGTCCCAAGAGCCCGTAGCGAAGGTCTCTGCGGTCTGCAGGCTCCCCGGAGGCACCGGCCGCCAGCGGGTTTTGCTGATTTTCTGAGACACAAACTTGGCATAAATCTCCTCCATGGCGACAGCGACCGCCGCAGGTACAGCGAGGAGCGCGCCGCGCGCCTCTCGGTCCCGCCCCTTCCCGCGCGGCCCTGATTGACCCGCACCCGACGAGCGGACGGTGGCCGCGGAGAGCCAATCCTCCTCCGTCGGCGCTGCGGGCGCCACCAGCCCCTGCTCACCGAGGCGACCCCGAACAGAAGCAAGAGTGTGCGGGCCTCGTGCTACAGGACCTGCTCTTAATGTGCACGCTCAGTGTAGTGACACTGAGACAGTGCATTTGTGCGATAATCGTGCACTGTAAAACAAACCGAAGAGCCAAAACAAAACGAAATCAATGCAAGAGAAGCCGCCTCAGAGCCACACCTAAGCATTCAGTCTTGCATTTCACTGCGCATAGAAGAGATTCAAAGTCCTTACATTCTCAAGGAAGTACGTCCATTAACGGACCAGTTTATTGTTCTAAACCTCTCCCTCTTTATCCCCCAAACAAATCCTTGTTAATACACTGTCAGAGCCTGGAGTTGGAATTCTGAAGACTCCAGTTCGAGTTTTGACACCCATTGCTTAGCTGTGTAACCTTCCTCAATTCAGTTATGAATATAATTAAGAATGAGTTTGATATGTAACGTCGACAGCCCAGGAACCGGTGCTGTAGGTTCCCTCTTCTCTGCTTTTGATTACACCTATAATGTCCTTTTATTCCTCTCTCCTTCTCAGAATCCTGCTCATCCTTCAAGGACCAGTTCTGCCCTGTATCTTTTCCTTATTACTCCAGCCCATGCGATCTAAATTAACATAGCACTTGATATCTAGACCACTAATAGCACTTATATTTTGCCCTCTATTGCTAGTTTTCTTTGGGTGCAGATCTCCCCAATTAGAATGTAAATCCTATTGCATTCAAGACGTATTGTTACTGAACCAAGTGGGCTCGCCTCCTGGTGAGTTAAATAAGACTACACCAGTGGAAGTTGTTTTACAAAGTAAAGTGTATTTGCAGAGATGGGGGTGCTATGGAAGCCACCAGCCAGCAAGCATTAATGGGGCAAGTGCCCACTTTCTACTCACCAGAGCAATATCTAAACAGCTCACTTCCCCCAAGCAGTTCTTGATGACTGTGTGCCCTGGAGGGCCAGCCCAGGAACCCTGGGAGGGAGCAGACCCCCGAGGCTCTCAGCCTGGAGAAGACTGTTAGGGACCCAGAGGGAGTGGAGTGCCCTAATCCAACCTGTTGGGATTAAAAAACTTCCCAGAAAAAAAAAGAACACTGTTTTGAGTGTGGTTTCCTTTATGGTCACGAAATCCCAGAAATAGGTAATGTATATTTCGGACTTAGAAGTAGGCTGAGCAGTTGACAAAATCTGGTGAGAACTAGCATTTGAAAAATGCTGCTGAGGCAGTAGCACAGATGTCGTGGCATAGCTTTGTTTCCTTCCTTAAAAGTTTATTGGACTAAAAGATGACTGGATTCTGTCGGTCTCTGTTCTGATTAGGAGTGAGCAAGTCGGATGCGACAGGCAATGTTCCCTGTCAGCTTCTCGATCATTGTCTTGCACAGCTGATAGCAATAAAGCTGGTGTCCAGTCTAACAGCGGAAGGCTTAATTAGCTGAAAAGGCATACTCGTGTCGGGAGAATAACACATTCGCCATAGGATACTGTGGTATTTTTAACCAATTGCATTGTGCTAAGGAGCAGAGCATCCCCCACGCTCCACCCTACTCCATATGTCATGGTATTCTTCCACTCTGAATTTGTGCTTGAGAGTTGAGAACAAACCAAGGTCCCAAGGTCTCTGCTGACCACACACTGATGGACTTGTCACAAAGCCAGAGTACCCGGGTTAGAAAAGGTTCTACCAAGATTAATCAGGCTCCCCCACAGGGAGCTCAGACGGTAACCGACCTATGCATTAGTCAACTGGGTTGGGTGAGGTAGGACGGAGGAAACCCACCGTCTAACAATCTGGACGGCTATAGGAGCAGACCCGCCGCTCGCAGCAGCTGACCCCGCGCAACTGCGGAGCCTCCGCAGCGGCAGAACCAGATCGGCCCAGCTGCCCCGCCACCGCCCCAGGTGACCAGAGCCGCAGCCGGGCACGCGCCCGGCCGCGCCGGGGCCCACCCGCCT